GTCCTGTTGGAACAGTCTGAGGTCCTGAGCGCTCTGGAGCAGGTGTTCATCAAGGATCTCTCTGTACTTTGCTCCCTTCATCTTTCCCTCGATCCTGACTAGTCTCCCAGTCCCTGCCACATCATCCCCACAGCATGATGCTGCCACCACCATGCTTCACCATAGGGATGGTGCCAGGGTTCCTCCAGACGTGACGCTTGACATTCAGGCCAAAGAGTTTAATCTTGGTTTCATCAGACCAGAGAATCTTGTTTCTCATGGTCTAAAAGTCCTTTAGGCGCCTTTTGGCAAACTCCAAGCGGGCTGTCATGGGCCTTTAACTAAGGAGTGGCTTCCATCTGGCCACTCTACCATATGGGCCTGATTGGTGGAGTGCTGTCTGATGGTTGTCCTTCTGGAATGTTCGCCCATCTCCACAGAGGAACTCTGTAGCTCTGTCAGAGTGACCATCGGGTTCTTGGTCACCTCGCTGACCAAGGCCCTTCTCCCCCCGATTGCTCAGTTTGGCCCGGGTGGCCAGCTCTAGGAAGAGTCTTGGTGGTTCCCAACTTCTTCCATTTAAGAATGATGAGGCCACTGTGTTCTTGGGGACCTTCAATGCTGCAGACATTTGTTGGTACCCTTCCCCAGATCTGTGCCTCGACACAATCCTGTCTTGTAGCTCTACAGACAATTCCAAACCAGTGGTGCGTATCGCTAGCCCGGTACGCCCCGTACCTGCTCCTCGCACCAAACCAGTGGTGCATGTCACCTCATGGCTTGGTTTTTGCTCTGACATGCACTGTCAACAGTGGGACCTTATATAGACTGGTGTGTGCCTTTCCAAATCATGTCCAATCAATTGAATTTACCAAAGGTGGACTCCAATCAAGTTGTAGAAACATCTCAAGGATGATCAATGGAAACAGGATGCACCGGAGCTCAATTTCGAGTCTCATAGCAAAGGATCTGAATACTTACATAAATAAGGCATTTCAGTTTTTTTTTTTTTATAAACATGCAAACATTTCTAAAAACCTGTTTTCACTTTGTCATTAAAGGGTATTGTGTGTAGATTGATGAGTAAAACATGTTATTTCATCCATTTTAGAATAAGGCTGTAACGTAATAAAATGTGGAAGAAGTCAAGGAGTCTGAATACTTTACGAATGCACTGTATCTGGCCGGTCGGTCGGCCGGACCAACCCATCTGGCCGGCCGGACATACCTACCCATCTGGCCGGCCATGCGGCCGGACCTACCTACCTGTTCAGCCGGACCTTCAGTCGGCCGGATGGACCTACCCGTCTGGCCGTTCGGATGGACCTACCCGTCTGGCCGTTCGGATGGACCTACCCGTCTGGCCGTTCGGATGGACCTACCCGTCTGGCCGTTCGGTTGGCCCAAGAGGTAGGTCCTTCTGGCCGGAGAGGTTGGTCCTAGCCGGCTGGCCGGACCTACCATTTCCGATTGGCCGGCCGGCCGGACCTACCTACCTGTCTGGCCGGACCTACCTACCTGTCTTGCCGGCCGGACCTACCTGTCTGGCCAATAGCCTACTTTATTGGAATCTCAATTGCCCTGTCCCTCATTCATAGTTTGATTGCTTGTGTTGCCTATATTTGAATGGGCAACGAGCAGAAAATGACAAATAAAATAAAAATAAATAGTTCTCACTTGATGTCCAAGATAAGTAATTCTAATTGAGACATAATGTTGTGGAGATTGTTGCGGTGTATGATATTTGTTTTAGCCTATAGTCGTTCATTCATAATGACATGATACCTAGCTAGAACGAGTTTTAATTGATTAAATTAAGTGGTTCTCTGACAGCTGCCAAAATGGCTGACTGAAAAGCTTGACATTCATAATGAGGTTGCAGAACCTAGGCTGTTGATGTACTGTATGTCACGCCCTGGCCTTGAGAGCCTGGTTTTCTTTGGTTGGTTTGGTCAGGGTGTGAATTTCTATGTGAACATTCTATGTTATTATAGATCTATGTTGGCCGGGTGTGGTTCCCAATCAGATGCAGCTGTCGATCGTTGTCTCTGGTTGGAGATCATACTTAGGCAGCCATGTTGCGGGATCTTGACTCTTGTTTGTGTGTAGCCATTGTGAGCTTCATGTTACGTTGCTGTTGTTGTTTTGTCGTGTGTTAACTTCATTAATAAACATGTATGCATTCCACGCTGCACCTTGGTCCAATCCTGTCCTCAACGAACGTGACAGAAGATCCCACCACCAACGGACCAAGCAGCGTGCCCAGGAGGAGCAAACACCCTGGACACAGGTGGGGAAGATGTGGTCTTGGGAGGAGATATTTGCTGGGAAAGGACCCTGGGCGAAGGTAGAAGCCCAGGTAGGAGAGGATCGACGGCGACTCCAAAATGCGAAATGACGAAGGAGACCCGAGAGGCAACCCCAATAAAACAATTTTTTTGGGGGGGGGGCACACGGGGTGGTCGACGAAGCAGCAGGAGGCCGTGAAAGGGCTGACTGTGGAGGAGGAGGCCGCTATTGTAGAGGCCGCTATTGATCAGCAGTATGAGAGAGGAGGCCACCGCATTATGGGGGCTGTTAGAGAAGAGGGAGCAGGAGCTCTCACTTCAGAAGGAGGTGCTGCAGGAGGCCCAAAGGGAGAAGGAGTCAGTGGATGCAAGGAGAGAGGAGCTGGCCAGGCAACAGAAGGAGCGTGGGACCATACAGGCACCCTGATCTGCTGTGATGCGCACTGCATCTCCAGTGCGCATTCACAGCCCGGCGCGAGTGGTGCCCGCGTCCCGCTCTTGTCGGGCTAAAATGAGCATTCAGCCAGGACGGGTTGTTCCTGCTCTTCGCACCAAACCAGTGGTGCGTGTATCCAGTCCGGTACGGCCCGTACCTGCTCCTCGCACCAAACCAGTGGTGCGTATCGCTAGCCCGGTACGCCCCGTACCTGCTCCTCGCACCAAACCAGTGGTGCATGTCTCCAGTCCGGCACGGCCCGTGCCTGCTTCTCACACCAGACCAGTGGTGTGTGTTCCCAGTCCGGCACAGCCCGTGCCTGCTCCTTGCACCAAACCAGTAGTGTGTGCCTCCAGTCCGGCACGGCCCATGCCTGCTCCTCGCACCAAACCAGTGGTGCGTGTCGCCAGCCCGGTACGCCCCGTACCTGCTCCTCGCACCAGACCAGTGGTGCGTGTTCCCAGTCCGGCACAGCCCGTGCCTACTCCTCGCACCAAACCACCGGTGCCTAGTCCAGCTCCGGTCAGCTGCTCCACTCCAGTGTTAGAGCAATCCGCTCCACCGGTGCCCAGTCCAGCTCTGGTCAGCTGCTTCAGTCCAGAGCCAGAGCAGTCCGCTCCACCGGGGTCCAGTTCAGCTCCGGTCAGCGGCTCCACTCCAGTGCCAGAGCAGTCCGCTCTACCGGTGTCTAGTCCAGCCCCGGTCGGCTGCTCCAGTCCAGAGCCAGAGCAGTCCGATCCACCAAGGTCCAGTTCAGCTCCGGTCGGCGGCTCCACTCCAGAACCAGATGTCAACTCCTCTCCAGGGTTGGGGCCTCCCACACCAGGGTCCAGACAGGGCTTGGTGCATCGTGGGGGGATTGCCGGTCTGGGCCTGGACGTCAGCCCCTCTCCAGGGTCGGGGTCTCCTACACCAGGGTCCAGACAGGGCTTGGTGCATCGAGGGAGGACTGATAGGGGAAGCATCGCGCCGAGGTCCAGACTGGACCAGGGGTGCAACGGGGAGGCAGTAAGGGAGAGGACTTCACGCCCGGAGCCAGAGCCGCAACCGAGGCTGAATGCCCACCCGGACCCTCCCCTAATGAGTCAGGTTGGTGCGGCCGGAGTACGCACTTTTGGGGGGGGGGGGGGGGGGGGGGGGGTACTGTCACGCCCTGGCCTTGAGAGCCCGGTTTTCTTTGGTTGGTTTGGTCAGGGTGTGAATTTCTATGTGTACGTTCTATGTTATTAAAGATCTATGTTGGCCGGGTGTGGTTCCCAATCAGAGGCAGCTGTCGATCGTTGTCTCTGATTGGAGATCATACTTAGGCAGCCATGTTGCCTACCTATGTTGTGGGATCTTGACTCTTGTTTGTGTGTAGCCATTGTGAGCTTCACGTTACTTTTGTTGTTTTGTCGTGTGATAACTTCGTTAATAAACATGTATGCATTCCACGCTGCACCTTGGTCCAATCCTGTACTCAACGAACGTGACACTGTAGGCTTATTGGTGTTAAACTATCGACTGAAACATATACATTACAGAATGCATACAAATATTCTAATATGAATCAAACAGTAAGAAATTAGTAAACATGAGATGGGATGGAAATATGAGATGGTTTTGAATCGTGTTAGTTGATTTCCCTCTGGGTATAGTACCTCACAAGTTAGTAATGAGTATTCTGGGGACAATATTCAGGATAATTATTTTTTACTCCTTAGCACTGTGCGCTAAGGAGGAGAGAGAATGCCTGAAGCACAAGGCAGGATGGATTGAGATGGAGGACTGTTTTGTATGATGAGCATAGAGCAGGAGTTGCTAAAAAATGTAGACTGCACCATTCTTCATGAATAGGAGTCATTGAAAGTGCCTTGAAACTCCTTTGTTTCCCTTTTGTTGTGGAATTCTGTTTACTCAAACAAACCTGCCTTAAGGGGTGGGTTCAGTACTAAAATAAGAAATCTGAATCTTAATGATTCTTCTAATTTTAAGCTTGAATATTGAACATACACTATCTTTATTTTAATCTGGTCCCAGTAATTCTATGGTGAGAGTTTGTAGGAGGAGCCTAGTGAAGCTCACTTTCTCCAAAAATGGTAGCCCCGCCTTCCTCTGTCTGGATTTTCCTCCCTCTTTTTAAGCCCTGCCCCCATCACACTTCCTGCTTTGTTTGAGGAGGGAAACAGCGAGGGAATTGACGACTGAGTAGGCTAGCTGTGGTTTGTGAAGTTTAGAACATACTAAGAATGAGCTGCTTTTGATTCACTCCCAATCAGTGACACAACTGACTGGAACAGCAGACAGGGTAAGCAGATAGTAATTTAACAACCTAACTTGACCTATGTGCAAGTTAGCATTTGTTGATTCAATTTAGCAAGTTCTGGTCACTGCAGGATGCTGTTTTGAAACTGGATGTAAAGGGTGAGTGGCCTCTAAAATATGTGTTTAACACTGACTTAGTGCATTAAGATACTTTTTAATCTGTCTAAACTTCACTGAATGTATAATTTTATGTAAATGGTGATGTATTGGTGAGGCCATTGAAGGAATCTGCAGAAGTCTCATACCTTCCTGATGTAGCAATTGTAGATCCGTTAACGCAGCATTTTGACAATGTGAAATAAACTTACATTAATTTACTTAGTCCTAATCTTCTACCGCTGTAGTGTCTTGCCATAGTCCTTTACCTGTCCCATGAGACCCATCTACTCCAGCACAGCCGCCACTGTCCGTCAATGTGTCCAAGCCGTCAGATCCTGCACATCTTAATTTCACGGGCAATGTTCCTACGGCCAGTCTTCTTATACATGTTCGCATTAGAGACCTTATTTTGCCAGTGCAAAGCAAACCAAAGCAAAAATATACCACTTCATAATTGAAATATCACAATACTGAAATTCAAATTGTTTGAGGCACGGGAGTGTGTCATTGTGTGATCGCTGGACTGGAACAAAAGCCTATGCACTCCATGGCCCTCTAAGAAGTAATGTCAGGATCAATGACTTAGCCAGCTAGTTGAGGAATGATTGACTTGAAATGTAAACGGTACCGACTAAATATTCTCAAAAATCCATAATTTACTTAAACTTTTTTAATAAACCAGAAAAAAAACTGATTCTGCGTTGTGACATACCCTGTAGGACTAGGTTGGCCACTCCTTCCTTTGCTCAGCCAACGCCTGGTGCAACAAATCAACAGTAATCAATTAGTATAATGAAATTAAATTGTGCAGATTGATAGTATCTGCTGGACCTTTTTCACTGGGAAACAAATGTCGTACTTCGCCAAGCCCTTGATACGTAGTCTAAATGAGTGTCCACAGGTGTATTTAATTGCCTCCTTTCACAGGGTAATCTAACTGGGGTAAATGTAATTTCATCCAACTGCAAAGGGAATCCTCCATGAATGTTATCATTGGGGGATTATCCCACACCCTTGGGTTTGACAAGTAAATTCAGGCCCATACTGTCAAAGAGGGGGTCACATGGAGCTAATCTCTGAAACCCAGAACTAATTTTAAGTAATTGCGTCAAATGCTCAATTAGGTTCTGGGGGGAAATGTATGAAAAAATACATTAACAAGACAAGTAAAGTCTTCACCCTCCTAAACGGAAACTCTTTACATGGAGCAAATGCATTGCATTGCATTACATTTTCAGCTGCAGGTAGAACTGGATTTCTATGATGGGGCAGTTTAAGGAATGACATTCCATGAGAGCAACATTACTTTTTCAAAGATTATTTGAAAACTTGTACTAATGTCATTACAGATTCTTCCAACTCAATGGGGTTTATTTTATTGCTTGAAAACACTGAAAATCTTAGACTGGCTTTAAGAGCTGTCCTAAATGTTGGTCAAGATGGCATGGCTAAGATGGCATGGCACTATGCAAGGCTACTTGATTGTTTGATTTGTTTTCATTCCTATTTTGCTGAATGAGAGAGGCAGTGGTAAGTATAAGCAGAACTTACCGCTTAGTTGGCTATAGCCTGGAAACCTGATGTTTTATTCCATGGAATTCTACGTCGGGCATAAATGAGCATTTGGAATCAGGAACGTTTCCTCTCATGACCTCTACAAGCCAGAATGTTGAATAAAAATATATTTTAACTTACTTTACTGGTTGTCCGTGTGGTTGGTCTGTTTGCAGGTAGGAATGTGAGACAAGTATAATTAAATCAACTTTTCAAAGTGCTGGGTAATGTGTTCAGATTTCTGTCACCTGAAGCATGCGCATAAGCATGAGCCTGGCAAGTAGGCATGCATCACGTGCGTGTATTTTCATGTGTGCATGCTTCAATGAAATTCAACATTGGGTTTCCAGGCAAGGTTGGCTATTGCTTTTAAGTCATGTGTAGAAGGGGAGCGTTCTTGTATCCTACCTTCTCTCCACCTTGCTGCCTGCAGGCTTGGAGAAACTAGCTGCCTATGTGAATGCTGCTAGGTTTTGCACTAGTATGGGGGATTTATTATTCTCCTAATTGATGGGATGACTAACTTAGAAAGAATGCATTCTGGACTGTGCTAATGTAGGTTGTGTCACCTGGCAAGCTGTGATTGATGTGAATAGCTGTTTTAGGGGGTAAAATGAGATAAGGATTTGTGTCTCCAAATACTAGACTATACTGGTTCTTTGTGATCTGTGAACCATCCTTGGCTCTTCTCACTATGACAGGTTGTTATGATAAACGTATGCCTGGAAACAGGGATGCGCTAAGAGGCGGGGGACTAGCCTGTGCGCCAACGGATTGGCTGAGTAAGTCTAAACCACGCTCAAGTCTCTACTCTGATTGGCCAGCAGAGAGGTGGGAACTCTCTCTCTGTAAGAGTATTTGAAGAACAATCTGAAACAATGGATTTAGTTCTCTGAAGTGCCCTGCGAGGTATTTCAAAGAGCCCGTATATACGAAACATCATATTTACCATTGAAGGTTTTTGCATTAATTAAAATAACTAGTATATCTTAGAAGTCGTGTTGACCTCTTTTGTTCCTAATGCCAGATTTGAATTGACGCAACTTTGACAATTGCATAGCATTTCTTACGACATACATGGACAAGCCCTGAAATTTCATACAGATCTATTTTGAAAAGAATGAATGAAAGACAAACATCCAACAGATTTAGTTAATAGATGAATACACATTTGACAAAAACACTCAGAATTGGATAATCGCCTGATGATCACCAGCGTCCGGTACAACGGTCTATGGCCCGTGACATGAAAGGTCAAAAGTGGTGATGGAGTAGCGCCATTCTCAAATCGAACAGTAATCTGTGCCGCACGCTCATGCTGTCAACATAGCAGCATGGTGCATCACTCAGAAACATACATCTCTTTTCCATAAAATATATGTTAGAATTTTCAAACTAGCTTTCATTGGGAAGGCAGATAAAGCATTTTTATCAAAGTCAATCACTTTTGCATGTGAACAGAATCCTACTCATTACTCCACGTGCTTAACCCACTTTTTTGTTTTGAGCTGACTTCGCTGTCGGCCAGAGCAGGGCACCTGGCTCACGCCCAGGAGGCAGCCCGGTTCCAAAACAAATGCAATCACTTTTCACCCGGTGCAAACACCTCCCACCGGGGCCAGATATTCTAATCCCCTCACTGCATCACCTGCTTGTGTTGCCAGGCAGGCTTTGCACTCTACCAATCAGAGTTGACAGGGTGTAAAGAGGAGGAGGGGCTGCATGATGTGGGTGTGTCCCATCTTGGACTTCAACAATAGTGTGTACAGGGAAAGTCTGTTCTCCCACTTCTATTTGAATTTAATGCACTTCATTAATGAAGAGTTTAATGAAAAATGTTCCGTTTTTAATTTGCATCAATCAAATGCATTGCAATTAAGTAGAGTAAAACAAAAACAAACTTGTACATGATTGACATTATTTTGCTCTCTTCTCCACCACCTTTCAGGTCAAACATGGATGTTGCTGTCGCAGAGGAACCCCTGAGGAAAATCTTCAGAGCAAAAAAGACTATGAAAGTCAGTGATCGACGGCAACTGGAATCCCTTCACACCACTCTTTCCTCTCCATGTTCTATCCCATCCCCACCTCAGCCAGCAATGGTAAATGGGAAGCAATCTGAAGATGTGTCCATGGAAGTAGATAAAGAAACACATGGAGCTACACATCCCACCACTCCTGCTCCTTCCTCCCTGACAGCCACATCCCTAACCACTGAGACCTCTGAGGAATCATCAACCTCTGCATTACTGGTTCCTTCATCACAGAACATACACTCTGATGTAAAAGATGTTCAGGAAGATGAAGGAGAGGGGGACAAGGAGTCTACATTACCCAGCCTCGAGGTAGAAGACAAAATGAATGGAGTGATGAAGGGGGATAGAGATTCCAAGGAGGATGTTATCCCTGCCTCTCCTGTGAGTTCAGAGAAAACAGAAGCGGTAAGGGAGAAAGAGGTTGATGATATGGAAATAGACCTGGTACCAGGTACCACTCAGGACACAATGCCCATATTGAACCCTGCCTCCTCCCTCCTCCTGTCCCCCAACACGGCTGTAGAGTCTGTCTCTTCCCCCTCCCTCTCCCCATCATACACGGCAGAGTCTGACCAGGAGGTCAGGCCAGGATTCCTGGTGCTTAGTGATGATGACGATGTCCAGGATGAGAGCGATGAGGAGGAAAAAGATGAGAAAGAGAAAGAACAGAGGGAAAGTGAAGAAGGAGGGGTGGAAAAAGTTGAGGTTAACATGGAGAAGCCAGAACAATTTGAAAGTGGTGCTCCAGTTGACTGTCCATCCCCTTCATCACCGATACCCCGTCAGATTGATGAAGGTAATCCTATAGTCCTTTCCAATCCCAACTGAAGCACCGAAGTGATTATGTCAAGTTTAGTTAATATGTTAGCTAGGTTGCAGGAATTGGTCATATTTCTGACTTCAACTGGCCTGTTAGCTAGCGAAGATATACATTTTTTCAAGATGTTAGCTTCGATAATAGTGGTGTTGTTTTGATAGATGATACTGTAATGTTTTGTGTTCTCTCTAAACAAGAAGAGGAGGGTGCTGCTCTACAGAGGAAACGATCCCTGTCTGGAGACTCAGAGGATGGCGGCCAAAAGCAGGGAGAAAGAGATGTGGAAGTGGTGGAGAGGCATCACAAGAGGCCCAGAGTTGACTGTGAAGAGCTGGAGGCTCATGTGGAACTGAAGATCAGTGGGAGCGCTGAAAGGCAACACAAGCTGAAGAAGGTTGGTCCTCAAATGAAAGATGTTTTATTTTATTTTTTATTTAAAGAAACCACATCTCAGTTCCCAAATTGTAGTCATATATCCTGAGTTGCATGGCATATTTTTGCTATTTTAAGACCCTTTTCTGACAAGTAATATATATATATATATATATATATATATATATTTATTTTATGGTGCTACCTTCTTGTTTTTTGAGTGTTATTTATTTAAAAAATCTCAGTTGGACTGGTTTCAAGTTTAAACAAATAAAATAACCTTCCATCTTTATTTTTCCTCACTTAAAATCCCTCTCCCCTCCCTCTCCTCTGTAGGTGGTGCAGCATCTTGTTGAGGAGCAGTTGCGTGTTCTGCAGCTCACACTGTTTGACAAGAGTCTTCAGGGGCTCAGAGACAGAGTGGACAAAATAGAAAAACACCCGAGTGCCCTCAGCAGCCTGCAGGTTAGTTGTCAAAGGATGGTAAATAAAACACAAACAGGGTAATCAAGGATAAAGACATTGGAATGTATTGCCCATTAGACAAGCCAATCCATGCTCCACGTGTGCCCTTTCAGGCAAAGATTGCCCGACTTTCCAAGAAAGTTGGAACTGCCAACCAGGCCAGGGAGAATGCCAAGAAACCTCCAGAGGTGAGTGAAAATGGAGGAAATTGATCTTTCAATGATGACTGTGATTTCAGAGGGAACTTGCCTTTTTGAAAGGTTGATGGTACCATTGGAACTCCATACAAAGTGCTCTTCCCTATATTCATCAGGTACCGTTGCCGCCTACCTCTACCAATGCCACAGCAACCACTTCAGCAGGATCAGCAATTCTCTGCCTGAGGTAAGTCAATGGTTTGAAGTGTAGCAGCGTATCCCAAATAATCAGAGGAAAGAATTTTTCACCAGAGGGTAGCCCAAAGCAGTAGGTGCATTGACAACTAATAATCAATTTGTCATTAAGAGTTATCTGGGATAAAAGTAATTGATTGGATGCATAGGGATGTCATACTGTATCTCTCAGCATCCACTTATGTTTGTGTTCACCATCATTCTCCACTGAGCAACCTTTTGATCAGCTTCCTGACTCCTCTGCCTGTACTCACTTTCCTCTCCTCTCCTTGTAAACAGAACAATGGGGAACAACACACAGGATCCAATGCGTAATGATCAGAGCAGTCAAACCCCTACTCCTGTACGTAATGATCAGAGCAGTCAAACCCCCACTCCTGTACCCACAGGTAAGCAAGAGGGAGTTAGTCTGTTGGCAGGTTTCTCCTTATATTAATCTATGTGTTTTCTTTAACCACCTGATATTATTATGTATTTTATATAGTCTATCTTCATTTTTTAAATCTCAATTTCTTTCTGTTCCACAAGCCCCCTTGCTACCTTCCCCCTCTTCCACATCCTCAACTGGATCTCAACCCACGTCCCAAACCTTGAAGCTGAGCACCTGTGTTACCCCAGCACCAGGCCAGTCTGCCTTCTCTCTCCAGCCATTCCTCATACAGCTGCCTGGAGGAGGGACAGCCATCCTTACCAACCAAACCAACTCCCAGCTAACACCCACCGCTGCCTTCATCCTGCAGAGGACTACTCCCTACACCCCTGCCGCTCCCAAGCCCCCCTCCGCAGCCACCCTCTTATCTCATTTCGCTGCCACACCCACAAATACACCCACAACCATGACTACACCCACTGACACACCAGCTGCCACAACCTCTCACATGACCACAACCATGGCCATAACCACACCCAGGACCACAACAATAACCACACCCAGGATCATAATCACACCCAGGACCACAACCATAACCACACCCAGGATCATGACCACAACCATAACCACACCCAGGACCACAACCATAACCACACCCAGGACCACAACCAAAACCACACCCAGGACCACAACCATAACCACACCCAGGACCACAACCATAACCACACCCAGGACCACAACCATAACCACACCCAGGACCACAACCATAACCACACCCAGGACCACAACCATAACCACACCCAGGACCACAACCATAACCACACCCAGGACCACAACCATAACCACACCCAGGACCACAACCATACCCACACCCAGGACCACACCCACACCCAGGACCACAACCACACCCACACCCAGGACCACAACCACACCCACACCCAGGACCACAACCATAACCACACCGAGGACCACAACCATAAACACACCCACATGCAGGGCCACAACCACAACTATGGCTACAACCACACTCTGTGCCACACCCAATGATGCCTACCCTGGAGCCAATGGGACAGTCAGCAGGCCCAGCTCAGGCGTGTCTGTCTCCGTCTGTGAGTCCATTCGGCTTGTGTCTGTGGCGAACTCCACTTCAACTACATCCTTACCAAGATTCTCAATGCCAGCCACCACAGGCACTCAACCCTCTGTGCAACCAGCTGCCTCTGTGCATCCAGCTGCCCCAGCGCAACTAGCTGCCCCTGTACCACAGGTGCCTGCGAAAACAGGTTAGCTTACATCTCAGATGTTTGGCTTGTCATCTTGGAAGAGTAAATGTAAAGAGTTTGTTTTTGTCCGGATTCGGTGTCATTCAAACTGAGAAGCTCTGTTTTCCTACACTCTCCTATGTAGGAAGTCAAGCTACAAACCATCCTTCAGACTCCACACAGGCATCTCGCCCTGCCAAGTCCGAAGCATTCATAGACCTGACAGAGGAGGAGGAGGAGGATGATGATGATGATGTTCAAGGTAAGATTGATATTCCTTTCCTTCCTTCTTCCTTTTGGTGACCAGTATTTATGATATTATAGGGGCCAGACATGCAGTGGGTTGTACATAGTGACTAGTGCACTACATCTCCCTGAGTAGTCCCCATGTGTTGTGTGCAGTTACTGGAGTGCTGAAGGCTCCGATGGCTTTGAAGGCCTCAACAGCGTGTCAGCGAACCACAGCCACACAGCAAACAGCCACCTCCACTTCAGTTGGAACACAGGCCGGTAAGTGGAATCTTGTGCCAACACTGTCTGTGGTTATGTTGGCAGTAGAATACCCAGATTGTTTTTCTCTTTAGTTTATTGCTGTGTTTCAGTGAGGTCATCTCTTGGTCAGACTTCAGCCGTTGGATCTCCACACACTGTTCATCATTGCCCCCTGCAGGTGAGACTACCAAATGTTTGAAAGCGGAGCAACTTTGTCTTTCAATACATGGAATACTGCATGTTCCAGAATTACGTTTGCCAATTGGAAGACAATTGTATATTGGCCTATAATCAACCAAAGAGAGTAAACATAGCAAATGAATGTGAAAGGCTGAGTGAAAGTAGTACAATTTTGTTAAAATTCATCTTTCAGGGCTCGCCATCTAAAAGTGTTGCCTCAGCAACAACCACTTCTTCATCTTCCACACCTTGCCTCCAGCCCTCTCCCCTTCCCCCTTTGCCTGTCCCACCTCAAACTATCAGCCTGCCCCTAGAGGCATCCATCACCAGCCCTCCACAGCAGCCTCTGCTCAAAATAACCCGGGTTCCGAGCCAGAATGACGGCATCGTGCTCTCCTGGTCTGTGACTGAGGTAGACCAGAGCTGTGCTGCCGTGGACAGCTACCACCTATATGCCTACCACCAGGACCCCTCTGGCCACGCCGCCCCCGGCACACCCCCCCTACTCTGGAAGAAGATAGGGGAGGTGAAGGCCTTGGCTCTGCCCATGGCCTGTACACTCACACAGTTTGTCTCTGGCTCCAAGTACTACTTTGCAGTCCGTGCCAGGGATGTGTATGGCCGCTTTGGACCATTCTGTGTGCCTCAGTGCACTGACGTCTTAACGTCCCCTTCACCGAAAGCTCCAATTTAACCACACGTTAAGATTTAAGTTAAAATGTGTTGTGTCAAGTTAAAACAAGAGGAGAAATGTTGATTCTGTAGATTTTTTCTGTTAACCAGTCTGGCCAAAGTGAAAAGTTCAGTACAGCTGTTGGCAAAACTAATTGCTCTATTTTCAAATGAATGTGTTTGGTATTTGTTTTATCAGAATTGTGCACTCAAATCATCTTTGAGCCAAGGTGTTATCATTGGAATGTTACTGGGAAATGTTTTTGCCCATCTTAGTGAAATCGGTTGGCCCCATGTGACCACTGTCTGCCTGCCGTGTGTTTGACCACATGGGAGCAGCATTGTACCAAAATGGTATCTTTGACACAGGACGAGAGCATTTGAAAATCAACCTGAAATGGCCTGATTCCGTTTCTGAAAGAAAATGGACAAAGTATTCTTCTCCTTCTAGTTCCCTGAAGGGATTTGAAAACTCTAACTTTTCATTGCAATTGTCAGTCTAACATACTATGAAGGACAGAATGACCATGTTATTATATGGTAATACACAGTCATTTTTTTATGGGCCTAATAGTAAAGACATGTTATTTAATGTTTTTTTATTACCTTTTTAATTTGGCATGAACAGAACCAGTCGTCATGTTTTTATATTGTCAGACATATCACTTCAAAAAGTAGGCTACCTGCGCATGTTCGTCTACTCCAAAATAATTCCAGCATCCAAACAGTGCACTCGCGCCATCTGTTACGAAACACCAAAAAGTGTAATGACATTCTGCGATTTTCATTAGGTCTACACTCTTGTAGCCTGAATATATTGATGCATCTTTGACAAAATGACCTTTTTTTGTAGAAAGAAAAGTTGGGATGCCTGAAAAGGGGCTGAGATACCGGACTGTCCTGGGATGACAAGTGCAGCCACATGGATATATTTTTTTAAACCATGACCGGTGGGGGTGTTAGTTTAATTTGGAATATGCATTTATTTTAATATTTACCTCTAGCAGTACAAATAGCATTTGAAAGAAATAGTAGAATTGTTCATTTAGTATTATTTAGAGACCCCCCCCCCCCCCCCCCCACCCCAAAGTTTGACTTTGTTGCATTTAGGGGGACTCATGTCTCGTTCAGGGGGTCTGAGACCTCCCTGGGCCTCGTAATTCACACTGTCTGCTGATCACTTTATACTCTGTCTGATAGGGACATGTAAAGTCTTAATGGCTGGTTTGAAACATGTAAATGCATTGGACCTGACAACAGATTGACCGAAAGGTTAAGTACCAAGAACTATTCAGACTATTGTAATTTTTCATTAAAATGTTTGTAAACTATACTGGTGTATTTATGCTTGACTCTAGGTGGTGCTAGTCCCTTATCAGTTTATTCACACTAACATCGGTTCCTCGACATTTGTTGGAAAGGCACCCCCTCCTCCTCCTCCTCCTCCTCCTCTCTCTCACTCTCTCAATGCATACTAATGCTGCGAGAGGACCCTCCTCCCTCCTACCCAGCTTTCTCAGGGATGGGCGGGAGAGGGGACAGATAGCAATTTCAGTTCAGTATCCTTTTTCATAAGGCTGCATGTTGCTAAATTTTCTTTGTAAGCATTTAACTCCTTCTACCTTTTATGATAACCAGC